GTAAGGGAAATGTGTTGAGGGTGAGATTAAATTAAATTTGATAAGATCCAAACATTCCTTTAAGAAAAATTTTCTTTCTAGGTATTTCAAATTTCTTTTTAGCCCAGAACTATCACTTTAGGTATAGCTTTATTTCCTTTAATTGACTTATTATTCCACTGCTGCTTTAGCTGGAAGCCTTTTTTCACCATGAAGCCTTATTTTTCTAATATTCCATCTTTGTGTTTTTAACCATGTTAACATCTGTGGGGTTTTTTTGGGTTTTTTTTCGGTACGTGGGCCTCTCACTGTTGTGGCCTCTCCTGTTGCGGAGCACAGGCTCTGGACGCGCAGGCGCAGCAGCCATGGCTCACGGGCCTAGCTGCTCCGCGGCATGTGGGATCCTTCCGGACTGGGGCACGAACCCGTGTCCCCTGCATCGGCAGGCGGACTCTCAACCACTGCGCCACCAGGGAAGCCCTGAATTTGTGTACTTTTAAATGTAAAGTTTAAGTTACTGAAGTATAAATAAAGTACACTAAAAACATGAGGTTTATTAATGTCATCTGGCAGCAGAATCTTTTTGGAAAAGTATATCTACAATAGTAATGGTTCAAGATAAAAATGGATCCTTCTTGATTGGAAACATTGTTAATTGGAACTTGAAAACAATCTCTAAAATCTAAATATCATATTTCTTCCACAATAAGATAAGTAAATAGGGTCTGTACAAAGAGACCTAACAAATTTTTACTTGGACAAAAAAGTCAGTCTACTTTTGGTAGTTCACTCATACCTCCCCATCTTTTAAAAACTGGTATTGGTGCTCAAAATAATGAAATGTGTAAGAGTAATGGTTTGCATTGGTTTTTGCCAAAAGCTTGGCCTCTGTGCACTGGTGCTGAATTGAATCTCGGAGACAGAGTTTTGGGTGAAGTAGAAAAGAATAGCTTTATTGCTTTGCCAGCCAAAGGGGGACACAGAGGGCTCCTGCCGTCGAAAACTATGTGTCCCAACCCAGGAGGATTTGATGAGGTGTTTTATAGCAGTAGTTCGAGGGTGGGGTTGCTGACAAGATTAGGGTGTGTACAGGGCCTGCACTTCTCTAATCTGGTCTCAGATAATCTTGATGAGCTTCTCTGGTTCCTGGCCTCAGGTAGTTACTTGGCTGCTCCTCCCTTGATTAGCAACTGTTTGAGTCTGCCCTTTGGAACTCAGAGAAGGTCATGGAGGCTCCCTACAAACAAGAAAACGGGGGGACAGAAAGACTTATGTGCCCAGGGGCCCCACAGGGTTCTGCTCATTTTCAGTTTTAATAAATGCTGTTTAGAATGTATGCTACTTTGTGATTTTCAAGTTGCTCAGTGTTTGTTTACAAATAAGATAATTTACTATTGATATATTTTATTCCTTCAGTAGCCATATTGACTAGGCACAGAAATGACACAGCCCTGACTTCAAGTTGCTTGTGGAAGGAAGGATATAGGGGAAGTTAGACAAATAAATATATAATAAAACATGGGATATGTGCTCTGCTGAAAGTTAAGGGCAGGGTGCTAGGGAGCATCTAGGGATGGCATTAAATTCATCCTGGGAGCATTAGAGAAAACTTTCCAGAAGTTTTAAGAAAGACTATTAAGAGTTAGCTAGGGGGCTTCCCTGGTAGCGCAGTGGTTGAGAGTCTGCCTGCCGATGCGGGGGACATGGGTTCGTGCCCCTGTCCGGGAAGATCCCACATGCCGCGGAGCGGCTGGGCCCGTGAGCCATGGCCACTGAGCCTGCGCATCCAGAGCCTGTGCTCCGCAACGAGAGAGGTCGCAGCAGTGAGAGGCCCAAAAAGAGTTAGCTAGATGATTGGGAATAGTGGGGGGCAGCAGAGGAGGCAAGGCAGAAGACAGCATAGCACATATAAATGCAGGTATGAGAGCACAGCCCATTGGAAGAGAACTTCGGGTAGTTTGGCTGTAACACAGACAGAAGGAATTTGCAAGAGGTGAGGCTAGGTTAGATGATGCTACTGTAAATGATGTGGATTTATGCTATATAAATTTCTCAATTATAATAATAATTGTAATATAGTAGAAATAGTGGTAGCACAAGTAGCAGCTGGGCTAACATTTATCATATGTTTGCCATGTACCATGTACTATTCTAAGTTTTTACTTTGACTCATTATCTCTTAAAGTGCACATATTTAAAATGTACAGTTTTGTAAGTTAGACATGTATACACCTGTGAAACAACCACCATGATCAAGATAAGGACCATATCTGTCACTCCCCAAAGTGTCCTCATGCCTGTTTGTAATCCCTGCCTCTTGGCCCTCCTTGTCCTGCTTTTTCCCAAGCAAGCACTCACCTGCTTTCCATCATTGATTAGTTTGCAGATTCCTTAAATGCTTAAATATCATCTTGGATCTGTTCTATAGTTTCTTAAAAGTGTTACTCCAGGAGTAGGTAAAATTTACCAAAGTTCCAAATACATGTATCTAACATTTTATCTAATATTTATCTAATTTATCTAATATTTTATCCGAACAGGAACGTGTCGTGTTCAATCTTCTGAAACATCCTTACAGAAGGGGTTTAGCAACTGAATATCTAGACTTTAATTGACTCACTATCTTTCTCTGTTTTGTGTGTTATCGTTACTTTGCCAATAAATATACTTCTATATCATTGTTTTAAAATGACTTCATAGTATTTTCTCCTATTGTTAGGTCTATCTTAATTTCTTGAGACAATTTCTCCCTGTTAGATACTTAGATAGTTTCTAATTTTTTGATAGTCTTACAGCAGATATTTATTAAACTCTTGCTTTCTGTCACGTACTGTTCCAGGAATTGACTTGAATAAGACAGATAAGACCCCTGCCTTTAAGAGTTTACATGGCATAGGAAGAAAGAGAATGAATGAACAAACCAATGAATGATTTCTGATCAGCACCATGACGGAAATAAATAGGGGAGATGTGATAACAGTGCTGGGGCTGCTACGGGGAGCAGCATGCTGGGTTACAAAGACTTCTCTGAAGAAGTAGCCTGAGATGAGAAGAGCTACAGGAAGAACATCACTGGAAGATGGGATGACAAGGGCAAAGGCTCTGACATGGTTACATTTTTTTCATAGAGTAGCAGTTCATTAAAGACAAACTTTTTTTGACCATTCTTAATATTCTTTTTGTAAACAAGTTGAAGGGAGGGAAACTGTGGTATTTCCAAAATGCTCTGTGAAGAGGGATACATTTCAGAAATAAAATAAGTGAGTGAATGGATATAGTACATATCCTGAGTGAGTGGATAAAATTCCTTGGGCAACTATAGTAAAATGCAATGAATGAAAAAAATAATTAAAGGAGTTGTTATGTAAGATAGTGGATAAAAAGTTAGAGGTCTTTAGGAGACAGAAAAGCTGAGAAAATTTATCTATTCAACAAATATTGAGCATCTACCATGTGCCAGGCAATGTTGTAGGTAATAAGGACACAGAATTGAACAAGACATATAAAAGACCCTCCCCTAACAGGGCTTCCATGAGACAGATAGTAAACAATATAAAATATTAGGTAGGTAATAAGTATTTTGAAGAAAACTAAGTGCATAATTTTATATAGTATCTATATTTTAAGTTTTAAAATCATTTCCAACATGTGTTATCGCAGTACTTAAAACATTGTTCTACTGTATATCTAATACTAATAAGGGCTGGTGGGGTGGGTGGAAATCATCTAATTTACCTACATATTTCAGTCTTTTTTATGTATTTCCAAATGTGTGCAAGAGGTGATCTCATCCAGTCTTACAGTTTTAGCTGATATATATTTGTAGTTGATGCTTAGAACTACCCTTTCACGAAGAGTCTTGCTTCATACCATTTTTATATCTCAAATGGGATATCTGGAAAGCAGCTCAAGTTTAAATATAGAAGAGAGATTACTCATCCCACCCCCACCCCCAATCTGCCTCTTCTAATTTCATCATTATATTTTTGTGTTATATCATTGTATATGTCCTAGATTCTATGCTCTATTATCATCTATTTTAGTACCTTAGCTTTAAGGTTGGAACCAAGGACAGGTGTATATAGCTCACAGAATTGTTGATTTTGCCTCTTAGGCTAATAAATAACATAAGATGCTTAGGGAAAAAGTACAGTATAGGATAACTTCAAGATAATTAGGTTACTAATAGAATTTTGCTGTTTAACTACAAGATCAGTGTTTTTTTCTGATTATTTTTTCTGTGTCTTGACAGTCTATTTGAACTTTCTACTGTAAATGCATATTAAAATTTGGATCCATAATGTATTAAGTCTAAATAAATAAATAAGGATTTTAAGACTAAAAGATGTTCTGTAACTCTGGTGTAATGAGATTTAAAGATTTATTTTCTTAGAAGTTTTGTAAGATTATAAAACTTTTCTCAAGAAGTTTTGTAAGATTACATTGAGTTTTTATTTCAGTTCTTATTATTTATTTAAGTGAATTAATTTTGGGGGGCTTTTCTATGTAGAGGGCCCTTTAAACTTTTCTCATATTTTTAGGTGAAGATTTGATTTTTTTTAATAGTGTTTATTTATTTTTACTTGATGAGAGTTTGCTTTATTTATTTATTTATGGCTGTGTTGGGTCTTCGTCTCTGTGCGAGGGCTTTCTCTAGTTGTGGCAAGCGGGGGCCACTCTTCATTGTGGTGCGCGGGCTTCTCACTGTTGCGGCCTCTCTTGCTGCAGAGCGTGGGCTCCAGATGCGCAGGCTCAGTAGTTGTGGCTCACGGGCCTAGTTGCTCTGTGGCATGTGGGATCTTCCCAGACCAGGGCTCGAACCCGCGTCCCCTGCATTGGCAGGCAGATTCTCAATCACTGTGCCAGCAAGGAAGCCCAAGATTTGATTTTTTTTAAGTGTTAATTTTATATTGTTGATATAAAGCATTTGTGTTATATATAATGGTTTATTGGGAAATGGAAAAGTTTATTAATATTTACAAGACTTTCCAGGTTGTAAATGACTTTACCTTCTCTTCTAGGTTTGTTAAAGTTTTGCACTGTAGGATTTTGTGGAATTGGGAGCCTAATTGATTTCATTCTTATTTCAATGCAGGTAAGTTAGTTTCAGTCTAGAAGATGAACTACTTTTACATTCAAATTTGTGTTCTGTGATATGTATGTTAGAAAGCAGTTAGGAATGCTTTTTCAATGTTTCTTCAGATGCTGGATCTAAAGGATCACGGCCATGTTTTCAAGTTGCATTTCCCAACCTGTGCCAATTAGCAGTTCTAAAAGACCTAAGAGCTTCAATTACACGGATTCTGTGCTGTAATATGATTTGTCAATGTGAGTTCAGCTGAGTTATAGAGGTTTCTTTACTGGAGAACTCAGAATCTTTATAGTTTGTATTATGAATCTCTAAGTGGGATTGAGGTTATATTTCAGGCTTATTGTTTCTTTTCCTGTTACAGCCACATTGTCAATTACTATAATAGGATACTGATGGGAATCTGATATTTACATATGAATATGTGGAGGCAGAAACAAGATTTTTTTTTGCACTGGACAGGTACTCTATACTAGGGTTCTCTTGGTTGCAAATTGTAGAAACTGAAATGCAGCTAGCTTAAGCCAAAAAGAGAAAAGGAATTTCTGGGCACTCTGTGGAAAATCTAGGAGAGGCGCTGGTCTCAGGCAAGACCCAATTCATATAATCAAATGATGTGTTCAGGACTCTCCTGCTCTTCATCTCTGATTCTGTGTGTTAGCCTCGTTTTCTCCTGCTGCAGTGGTTTGTGAAATGCTCTTCTTACGCGTTTAAAAGTGCCACCAGATGTTTTCTATTAAATTATACTGAACTGGTTGTGGTTAACTCATGAGGATTCTTAAAGAGATGAATTTATCACAACAAATGTCACAAAGCAGCATTTCAGTAAGCATTTATGGAGCACCTAATGTCTTCAGTAAATGTGTCAGTATGTATTTAGATTATCATCAGTTTTGCTCTTCTTTCTCATACAGTATTTCCACTCCTCAATTCTGTCTGCTTGATGTTATCCTTATGCTTTAAAAGAAAGTCAAAATCTAGATTTTTGGTAACATACTGTGAGGAGGGGACCATACTGTGAGGAGGAGGCAACATATGGACCAATAAGATATCAGAATTAAACAAGGAAAATATTTGGTTTTAAAGTTGGAATTTTCCTGTCTTTATTCATAAACATATGCCTAACCAAATATCCTGCCTTCTCTGACTGTGGTACAGGCAAGCAGGCATGAAGAGGCTAAGGTACTTGTGCACATATGCTTGGAAATGGGTTTCCTCTGAGGATCCAAGGAATTTAATGTATTACTGGGATTCTTTGAGATATACAGAATTCCACATCTTTAAAACCCAACCATTTAGTTAATATTTCACACTACGTTCTTTCTTTGGTGATGTCAGTGCTTTGTAGCTTTATTTATATCAAATTACAGAGCTTATTTGATTCAGCCACTATTTTCTAGTACATGTATACCTAAACTTTTCAGAACTAATAGTTCTTAAAGATCTAGAATTGAGACTATTACATCAACAAATTATTGAGGTAGAATTAGAATGTTTGAATTTCTACAGTATATTTCCCTAAATAAGACATTTTAATAGGGATGGCTACCTTAGACTGCTTTCAGATTAGGGGAAAAATAAATCATTTCTCAAAAGTAGCCAAATAAGGGGCTTCCCTGGTGGCGCAGTGGTTGAGAGTCCGCCTGCCGATGCAGGGGATGCAGGTTCGTCCCCCGGTCCGGGAGGATCCCGCGTGTCGCGGAGCGGTTGGGCCCGTGAGCCATGGCCGCTGAGCCTGCACGTCCGGAGCCTGTGCTCCACAGCGGGAGAGGCCACAACAGTGAGAGGCCCACGTACCGCAAAAAAAAAAAAAAAAAAGTAGCCAAATAAGACATGTATCCTTGTTCTATATGTTGTTTAATATACTTAATATGTGATGTTGACTACATTAATTTTAGAGAATTTTTTTCAGCCAAATAAGTTTTTACTATAAATATCATAAACTGTGTTAATATTTTTGTCCTAAATATATTTTTTAATTTCTCATAAACCTTTTACATTCTATCATCTTTTTGTTTATTCTTCTTTCCTTATTCATTCTCTCCATCCCCAGTTTTTTTTTCTTTTTGCCATTAAATATTATTCCCCAGTAAGTTGCAATGTTTTTCTTTTGGGCTGTGATCCCAGAAACATATTGTGCATGAACTCAAGACCTATAAAAACATACTTTGCTTCACAGTGTTTATAACAAAAATCCAGGAAAATCGTCTTTAAAAAAAATAGGCCTAGTTATTTCTTTTATTTTTTACGGTACACGGGCCTCTCAGTGTTGTGGCCTCTCCTGTTGCGGAGCACAGGCTCCGGACGCGCAGGCCCAGCGGCCATGGCTCCTGGGACCAGCCGTTCTGCGGCACGTGGGATCTTCCCAGACCAGGGCACGAACCCGTGTCCCCTGCATCGGCAGGCGGACTCTCAACCACTGCGCCACCAGGAAAGCCCCTATAATTTTTTTTTCTAAATTTATTTATTTGTTCTTTCTGTTTTGTTTTGTTTTGGCTGCATTGGGTCTTTGTTGCTTTGCCGAGCTTTCTCTAGTTGCGGTGAGCAGGGACTACTCTTCATTGCGGTGCATGGCTTCTCATCGTCTTGGCTTCTCTTGTTGCGGAGCACGGGCTCTAGAGTGCAGGCTCAGTAGTTGTGGCTCACGGGCTTAGTTGCTCCACGGCATGTGGGATCTTCTTGGACTAGGGCTCGAACCCATGTCCCCTGCATTGACAGGTGGATTCTTAACCACTGCTCCACCAGGGAAGCTGTAGTTATTTCATCTTTGAACTGAAACAATATAAAGTGTAACACATATATTACTAAAGTAAGTAAGCTTTAAATGTAGCTATATTTACTAAAAACACTTTCATGAATTTATCTGTTAGTAAACTTCTGAAGTTTCTTCTGTTTGTTTTTTGTTCTTAAAAAATATGCGGATGGCACTGTGTGAATGAATGGTATAAAACAATACATAGAATTAATTCTTTTGTGTATTCAACAAAATCTAAATCAGTGATGCATGGATAGCATACAGTTTTTCAATTATAGGCAACCATTGTATATAACTATATATAGTTGCAGTATATATAGTTATTCATAAGGCAGTTCTGAAGATTTTAAAATACTCATTGTTTTGTGCTTATATTTATATATATCATTAAGGATAGATTAGATAATTTGGTCTTTTATCAGAAAAAATATGAGAATATTTGATTTCATTTAAATCTCTTTTCTCACTCACACAATGAATAGTTTTAATTATACCAAAACAACTGATGTGTACTTCACCAACAAAAAGGAAAGAAAATTGATTGTGTTCAGTGGAGACAAGACAGCCACAAATCAGAAACATGAAGATGGGTACAGGGAAAATGGAAATATGCGTTGGAATGTAGAAAGTTGTTGAAGGAAGTATGTCAGGGTTCTTCGTGACAATTTAAAAAAATTCTATGCATTGTGGAAGAAATTACTTTTATTTTCATTCCTGTTAACATTGCAGACACAACATTGTTAAACAACTATACCCCAATTTAAAAAAAAAAAATTGCAGAGTAGATTCCTTAAAGAACTAATAACTATATAAGCAGCAAAATACACAAAGCAATGTAATCTCCAAGACATGTTTTGAATTTTATAAATAAATTTATTAAATATCTCATTAATTTGGCATTTAATATATGTAACTCATTTTAGCTCTGGGTTATATACTGCTTTTGTATTTTTTTTTAACTTTTACACACCAGGTTTGATTTTTCACACATAAATTTCTTGAGAAAAAAAGATTTTTATTAATCTCCTGTAACACTAATAGTATGCTCAACATAGAGTATGCTCTCAAAATTTTTGCTGATTTAAGCTGAATGCAGTATACCTTGTGAAAAGTGTGGCTTTGTGCCAATTACAGGGAAGATGAGAGGCTAAAAATGGTAGTTTAAAAAAAATGATTGCTCTTCTTTAAGGGCTTTAAAGTTCTAAATTTCGTGGGTCACTTGAGAGGTAATGAACAAAAATAAAAGTTGGTATGATAAAGTAGAAATAGGTATAAGTTGGGGTCCTTGCCCTAAAGGAACTTAGAATCTTACCCTCCCCTAAGTGGTGTGAGAATAACATCCCACTTGTAATCAGAAATATGTCCTTTGGAACTGCAAGCTGAAAATAAAAGAAGAGTTATCTTCATTTTATCTTGTTTAAATTCTTGAATTTTACTAAAAATTTTAAAAGCCTAGCCTTTTCAGTTTAGAGCATAAATAAGGCTCAGGTTAATAGGTTCACTTCTGTGTAAGCCAGTTTGTTTTGTCAAAGACATATCCTATGCCCTTGCTCCGTGAAATACGTGCCATTGATCAAAAGTACTAAATGTGTAATCACCCTAAATCTATTTCCAGTACTGGAAAAGTTGGTCAAAGTCCTTGATAGTTCACTAGACGTAGGACAGCAATATATAAAATCTAGATATCAAGTCTTTCAAATAGTTCTCTGTATTATTTATTTAACCCTGGTGTGATTTACTGGGGAAATGAACTGGAAAACGGAGGAGAATGGTAATTTGGGTAGTCTCTGCTTTGTCACATCAGCTCAATTAAGTATCAGTAGATTTCACTTAGTTCACTTACCTGTGGGCAGATTTTTATTTAGTGAATTAAAGGAATGTTCAAAAAGCAAAGTAGTCCTGAGACTGAGCCCAGTGCTGTGTTTTCCTGAGGAGATACGATGCTGAATCCTATTCATTTCTTGAGGAATGATGTTTATATTGGTCATTAAGGATTAATACTAACCAGTCTTTAGATCAAATGAAGTCAGGGGATCTGAATGTATAACTTCTGGCATTGGGTGGGAATTTTGGTGCTTAATTAAAATGTGACAAATTAGATGTTTTTAATGGTTTTATGTTAAAATTAAGGACATACAGAAGTCAGCTCTGGACACAAACATGTAATTTGACTTTTAAGAGAATATGAATTTACTTCTTTGGGGAACTGGGGTGGACACAGGTTGCATCATTATCCTCTAATTGGAGGCAG